ATAATCTAGAGAGCTGACCATATAGACTCATTGCAGGGTTTCTAGGGCTTGCAGCGCTTATAGGGTTGAGGGTTCGGGCTTCTGGAGTTTATAAGGCTTAGGGGCTTCGGGCTTTTCGGGCTTCTGGGGTGCGTCATGGTGCGCCCTGAGAGCGGGTTTAGGGCTTAGGGTGAGAACCCGCTAAGTACGCGGTCTTGCCCCCGTTAGACCCGAAACCCTCCTATAAGCCCCTTTGAGCTACTGGGGCACCGCAACTGGATTTAGGATTTAGGTTTTTAGGGTGGGTCCACTTGCGGCGTTACAGCTAGGACCGAGAGCCGTGTAAACCCCAACCCCTGCCAGTAGCACCCAACGGCGTACCCAAGGTGGCGGCAGAATCCATCCGAAAGACTACAAGGTGCTTTATAAATCATCCAGGGCAGCAGATCCTTTCTTTCCCGAAGCACCTGTTTTCCCGCGCTCCCAAAGCCGGAGCTCGAACATGGCGACCTTGACGGCCCTCACGGCCTTCGTAGCTCCCAAGGAGGCTGGGCTCCACGTGAAGTTCCAGAGCCTGGCGGGGGAGGCCGTGTGTGAGGTGAGCCTGGCCCCGGGCTCCACCTTGGAAGACCTGGAGGGCCATCTGAAGACCCATCTCGGGATAGGGAGAGACTTGGTAGCCCAGCGGTGCCCTTTTGCCCCCTTTTTTTGGTTCAAGGGTTCCCTACATAAGGTATCCAACGGTACCCTTATTAAAGTATGGTTTCTGGGCTACCGAGGAGAAGATGCTGAGCATGAGTCCTTCGACATCTTCGCACATCCCTCCCAGGAGCCGCTGGACAAGCGCGAGCAGGCGGATGCCCACGCAGAGCTCACCTTCAGCAGAGACATCTTCGTCTCCGGCCGAAAGTTTCTGGCCGCGATGGCAGTCGAGGCCTTCAACCCGCAGTCAGGAGCCTTCGATGTGAACTGGACTCTGAGGACGGCCCAGAACGTGGCACGGGCGGAAGTGGAGCCGTTTCTCGGCAGCTTGGAGCTGTCGGATCTGGAGGGGGTGAAGTTCATGCGCGTCTTTCAGCGCCTCACAGTCCCATCCGAGGAGTGGAATTTGATGAACCTGAAATTGCTTCAGGATTTGGATCCGAGGTTGAAGTTGTGCAAGCATGTGCTGTGCAAGCACTGGCGCCAGGTGGCAAGAGAAGCAGCCACGAGGAGGGTTGTGCGGCAGCCCTCGCCCCTGTGTCTCCTGAAAAAGAATAAGCGCGGAAATGTCGTTGGAATGGAATGCGTGTCCTCAGACTCCAGCTTTCCTGACGGCTTCGATGGCAATCTTCAAACTGCTTTGCGTCTGAATGACGTTCTTCCTGAGGCTACTTCCGTGGGTTCGCGTCTGCGTGCGCTTGCGTCCCTGCACTGGGGCCCGCAGATTCCGCCCACTCCATCAGCACTAGAGCAGGCGTGGGCATGGCTCGAAGCTGGCGCCAAGGACGAGGAGATTCTCGGAGCTGATGCCCCCGCAAGTGCCTGGGAGAACGTGCGGGTGGCCCATGTGCAGCTGCGGCTGGCGTGTGACTTGGGCCCCGTGGCCGTGGAGCAAAACCTGGATACGAACTTCTTCCGCTTCGTGACGAAATTCCTCGGCTGGAGGCTGTGCGTGGTGCGCTTCTGGGGCTTGCACTGCTTCGTTCGCGACGCTCGCGACATGGAGAAGGAGGACTCTAGCAGCGCCCTTGGCGAGCGGGCGACCTTAGAGGAGCACCTGGACAGAGCCATAAAGGAGGCGAAGGGAGATGGAGACTTTCGAGGGGTGATGATGCTGGTGCTGGACCTCCCCGAGAACCATGACCTCACCAGCCACTGCCAGAGCTTGGAGTGGAAGCACTCGAAGACCATGCCGCTGCGCTTCGTCCTTTGCGAGTGCGTGCACTATGACCTCAAGGACTCAGGGAGCCTGCTGCGATTTCTCCATGAGGCCGACGTGCGGCTGGTGCGTCTCGAGTACTTGCGGGAGCTGTGCCGCAAGGGCCGGCGCCTGCCAAGGCGGCAGGAAGCTGAGAAGGAAAGGACGGAGTCCGGCGAAGCAGCGCTTGTGGATGACATTCTGAGCTGTGTCAAGATCAATGAGCAGACCGGGCACATGTCTACAGAGTCCCAGGAGGGTCAGATGGTTGAGGTCCGGCTGGTTTCGGTGTCACATGCCTGGGAGAGCATGCAACATCCCGACCCGTGGGGGTTCCAGCTTGAGACCGTTGTCGAGGAAATGGTGGCGAAGCACAAACCTGCCGGAAATCGACGCCAGGTCTACCTCTTCTTCGACTACCTCTCTCTGCCGCAGTACGAACGAACGACCTCAGAGGAGAAAGAGTGCTTCCAGCGCGCCGTCGAGAACATGCACCTCATGTACGCTCACGAGGCCATTCACGTCTTCGTTCTCGACAAGCTCACGCCAGCGGATAGACAAAGCAAGGACGGTGAGATCATTGTCTACCATGAGGACAGCGAAGCAGTCAAATCTGTGCCCGTCAAAGACCTGAAGTTCAACGAGACGCCGTACCTTTCGAGAGGATGGTGCCAGGCGGAGACAGAGTGGGCAAGCCTGCGAGAGACACTCTCGCACATGCCCTCACCGCCAAGCAAGTTCCAGGAGGGTTTTGTTCGAAACTAGGGGGTACTTGATTGGGTCCTGATTACAAGGGACTCCGATTATTTGGGGACGAAATTAGGGGTCCCCTCAACCCTAAACCCTAAGCCCTCATTTCTGTCAACCCTCAGGAGAAGATGGGGCAGTTGGCGTTCACGCACCGGAACGATGCGGGAGCGGTCATCCAACTCCAGGCCCGCGTCTTCTTTCAGAAGACTTCGGCCACCACCCAGCTGCTTCTTGACAGCCCAGTGGTACCCTTTACCCTTTTTTGGGCTATGGGTTCCCTTGCAAAGTAACCAACCCTAAAAGGGTGCCAGTATTATAGTATGGTTACCGGGCTACCAAGGCTCCTGGAGGGGCTTGACGAGGCGCAGGTTCGCCTCCTCTGCGAAGTGCTGCCTTCATACACGCGCCTGGAAGACATCGTCTTGACCCTGGGGACCACAAGAACCCCAAAAATTGGGGCCCTGTACCCCAGTGCTGCTGTAATTCCTATGTCAAGGTACCCTAAACCCTAAACCCTAAACCCTAAACCCTAAACAGGGTTCATATTGGTGCCCTAGGAATGGGAACGTGCAGCTGGGCACCCGTGGAGCTGTGGCGGCCGTGCAGTCCGCCGCAAAGTTTGTTCACATGGAGTCCTGTGGGCTTCAGTCACTTAGAAGCCGAATGAGTACATTAAAGGGTTTAGGGTTTAGGGTTTAGGGTTTAGGGTTTAGGGTTTAGGGTTTGGCGTTTAGGGTATCTTACTAGCTGAACGAGTACACTTCACACTTTTTGGAATACCATAATTCCCTATAAAACTGAAAGTGTGCACTTTTTTTGGGGGGGGGGGGAGGGGGGGGGGCTTATGAACTCAGCAACTAAGGTCAGCCGATGCCAAGGCCATGGCTGAAGCGCTCTCGTCCAGCAACTCGGGTATGCTTGGGCCTTTTCCTCTTTAATGGGGTTCAAAAGGGTCATATTTCTATAGGAATACTTCTCCGAGGATTCTACCGGGATGTGTTATTGTAAGAGGATCATATTTAGGAACAATTGCAGAGGGTATAAAGCCTAAACCCTAAACCCTAGAACCCTAAACCCTAGGGCCATCCTAGGCAAGGACCGGCCACACCTGGAGCTTTTGAACCTCAAGGGAAACTTCATCGACGAGGAAGGCCAGAAAGCGCTTGAGAGGGTGACTGGGCAGGGCTTCGGATATTTTGCATATGTTCCCCGTATTTGGTTTAGGAGGATCATCTGTAGGAATATTTCATTATTTCCCTTTTTGGTCGTTTTGTCACTTAGTTGGTTTGGAAGGATCGTCTTTGGGAATATTTCGTTGTTTTCCTTATTGGGTTGCGGAGGATCGTGTTTTAGGAAGATGTTTCAGAGGGTCTTAGAAGGGGACCAACCCAGGTGAGACGGCGCCTCCCGAATCTCCAGATCGAGTTTCGCGGCCAGCTTTGCCCCGGCGATGTCGGCCAAAGGATGCCAAGCATCACTTGGTCGGTTCCGCGCGCGACAGTTGTCGCGGTACAGATACCCACGGACACCGTGCTTGATTACGAGGGGCCACTTCTGATACGCAACTTCCCTGGTGTCGTGCTCCGCATGCAGAAGCTCGAGTTTGCAGCAGAGGCAATCACGGCAGAAACCTTTGAAAGCGCTGCGAAGAATATACGGAAAGCCGCAGAAACGATTCTTCCTCACAAGTTCAGCGCAATCGGGCTGTCGTGCACTTCGATGTCTTTTGTCCTTGGCCCCAAGCGCGTCGACGAGCAGCTCAACAGTGTATGCCCGACGGCAGCCGTCACAGATGCTAGGCTCTCAATGGGCTTTCCGAATATAGGGTTCCCGTAATCGCATTTGGGAGGAGCCATATTCTAGGACGCAGGGTAGGCCCTTATTCCTTTTTTTAGGGTTCCCTTGTGAAGATTTGTTTCAAAGGCCCCCTTTTATAGGGACTCTTGGGTCTAGCATTGGGTCAATTAGGGGTAGGCCTTGTTTTTGGCAACGCCCTAAACCCTAAACCCTCGTACAACGTCCCAAACCCTAAACCCTAAACCCTGTAACCCTAAACCCTCATACCCTCTGCTTCAAAGAGTCGGCCCCGAAGGCCTGAAGCCTTCGAACATCATCTACGATCGAAGCTTCGGTTTAGGGTTTAGGGCCCCAGTTTAATGGTTTGCGGGTTTAGGGGTTTAGGGTTTAGGGGCCCTAACCCCTAAGCCTGAAGCCCTAAGCTCTATAAGCCCTAACCCCAGAAATTCTGCATAATCTTGGGATCTAAATTATGGAAGCCCTTCTGTTCTGGTGAGCGGTGTTCGGCCATTACCCAAATTTACTGCCAAAAAAGGGCCCCAGTTTAGATCATCACCCAAACGTGGTTTCCGAAAATTAACGTGTCCCTGTTGGGCACTTTTTTGCGGGTGCTTTACGTGGATTTCTTCGAGATTTGCGACAAGAGGGATCCCAAACCCTAGTGAAATTCCAAAACCTAACTCCGGATGCCCCTAAGCCCCCAAAACCTAAGTTTTGCCATCGAAAGAGCCCAGGACATGGCCAGAGCACAGGTCGCTAGCCTCCGCGCACTTCGCGCGACTCGCCTCGCCCTGGTCACGCCCTACATCCAGGAGCTTGCTGGTGTAAGGTGTCGGGCTTCGGGAATGATGAACCTAGGATGCCCAGTACCCTTAGTCCCCACCGGACAAGTGGGGTTGCAAAACGGCGGCGCGCATGATGTGACGCGACTCTCAGGACAGAAGGCAGTACAGCATTGAGGACCACAGGCAGACAGCAAGGAGTACGAGATTCAGGACAATAAGCAGGCCAGGGAGGCTCAGGCGGGCAACTGTACCGGAAATGTGGCCACTTGCAATAAGCAGGCCAAGGGGGGTTCAGGCGGCAACTGTACTGGAATGTGGGCCAGACGCAATAAGCAGGCCAAGGAAGCTCAGGCGGGCAACTGCAAAAAGCGGGCCAAGCAGGCTCAGGCGGGCAACTGAACCGGAAGCAAAAAGCAGGCAACAAACCCCAGCTTCCGAAAGGGACGTAGGTTTGCGGTTTCAGGCATTTAGAGAGGGGCTTGGATTCCAAGGTCAGGGTTTGGATGCTCGAAGTGGTAATTCCCCTTTTTTAGGGGTTTTAGGTTGCCTTATAAACCCCTTAAACAGAAGGGCACCCTTTGAAATCCCGGGCTGGGCAGCCTAAACACCCTCAACCCCACAAGCCCCAACCCTCAGTAGAGTAAGGTATCTGACCTAAGTTGTCCTGCCATTTTTGGGGCTCTCATGGCAGTATTGTCCTTGTCCCCCTTTGCCATTGCGCACGGAATCGTGCCTGAATTAGAGGGTTTAGGGGTTTAGGGAGATGTTTTCTAGGGAGCCCCATACAATAGTACTTCCTCTTTTGAATTACCCAATGTGCTAGTCCATTTCTTTGGCCATGCCTAGAATGAAGTACCCCCCAAGAAGGAACTACACTGAAATGTCTAAGGCTTGAACTGCACCTTAAAACTAGGACACAGAGGAGGACGTTACTCTTTTTGTTGTTTAAGTCTTGGGTTCCCTTATACGCCCCTTTTCAACCCGAAAGGGCACCCTTTGTATTACTAGGTTCGTCTTGGGGTCTAGAAAATTAAACATCCTAAACCCTAAGCCTTAAACCCTAAACCCTAAACCCTAAACCCTAACCCCTAAACCCCAAACCTTAAACCCTAAACCCTAAACCCTGAACCCCAAAACCCTTCGAAGGAAGTGGCCGCAAAGAACGTCCAGATGCTGGAGGAGGAGGGCTTTGAGGTGGCTCAGTCGTCGGGTTTCGGGCTTCAGGCGTTTTAGGGTTTAGGGTTTAGGGTTTAGGGTTTAGGGTTGTGGCCCCCCAATCCACCTGAAGAACTGGACAAGTCAAATGCAACAAGGAACCCTAAGCCCTCTAAGCCCTCCAAGCCTAAATCCATCCTAAGCCCTGACCGTAAACCCTAAACCCTAAGCCCAAAGCCCTAAGCCCTAAACCCCAGGCCCTAACCCTAAGCCCCAAACCCTAAACCCCAAACCCCAAACCCGATCAACCCTCCACCGCCGGTTTGGGTATGAGGTTGTCTCGCACGCGACCATGGGCCTGACGCACGACTCGCAGACCGACAAGGTCTCGAAGGAAGCCGCTGTGTTGGGGGGTCTAGGGTTTGGGGTTTGTAATAGGGATCGGGATTAGGGTCTTGTACAGTTAGGCTTTAGGGTGTGTATACTCTTGTGACAGCTCACAATAGCTACTTGAGGGAACGCCGAGCTTGCACAAGCCTCCAAATTTGGGAGATCAGCTTATACCCTTCACCCTAAACCCGCTGTTTAGGGGGCTAGCCTAAACCTTTAACTCTAACACCTAAACCCTAAACCCTAAACCCTAAACCCTAAACCCTCAACCCTAAGCCCCTGGTGTCGTAAACCCCCCATGTCTCGGAAGGACACTATCAAGGCCTGGGCTCACGCGGTCGATACCGAGGCGGCAGAGGTGGCCATGGACAAGAGAAGTGTTTCGGGTTTAGGGCGTTTAGGGAGCTGAGGGAGTTTAGGGAGCTGAGGGAGCTGAGGGAGTTGAGGGAGTTGAGGAGGTTGAGGGGGTTGAGGGGGTTCAGTGTTCAGGGCTTGTTTAGGGTTTGGGGATGATACCTCGAGGGTTCCCGCCCCAATTAGTTGTCTCCAGCCTCCCGAGTCAAAGGGCACATAATCGCCGATTTTTTTTGTGGGTAGGGGTTTTAGTGATGAAGGGGTGACAGGAAAAGATACTCCCCGCAATTCCTCCAACTAGCAGATCTAGAACGCTCAAGCCTAGAAACGACACAGCTTCAACACCCCCAAACCCTCAACCCTTTAGGTTTTAGGGGTTTTGGGTTAAGGGGTTGAGGGGTTGAGGGGCTTCGGGGTGCTTCCAAAAAAGCCCCCCCCCCCCCCTCCCCCTCCCCCCACACCGCTTGCACACTAGGTGCTTGTCATTGGCTGCAGCGCGCTCCGCGCCTGTGAGCCGGGATTTATCGAGGATCTCGAGGCGGCTCTGGGCAAGCCGGTGGTCACCTCGACGCAGGCACCTCGTTGAAGGTTTAAAGGGTTCAGGGGTTTAGGGTTTAGGGTTTACGGTTCAGGGTTTGAACGATCAAGAAGCTTGGTACTGAAAAGTAAGGATAAATCACGAACGCTACAATACCTAAAGTAACAACATGAGGATTCAACATGGGTTATCACTGCAATAATGTTAATCGAAAGCACAGTTAGTTACACCTGGGTTGGTTTGGTGCCAACCCTGGCTTTGCAGCTATACAGGCTATACAGCTATACAGAATGCAGGCATCATTACGCTAACTTTGTAATGCGCGGCAAGTAACATGAGTACATGTGTATACATAGATATGTACGCACATCTGGTTTTAGCGATGAGGGTTGCGGTCGACCTGCAAAATGTGGTAATCTGCCTCCTTCATTCTGCGGTTTAGGGCGTAGGGTTTAGGATTTTGGGGTTAACCTGCAGCCCAGATGGCTTTGAAGGGCTTAAGCACTCATGGGACTCAGTTTACCCAAAGGTTCGCAGTACTTACACTCAATTTTGTAGGAATGAAACAAGAAACATGGTAGGGAAATAGAGTCCTGGGTACCCTGAACCAAACCACCAAGTAAATTTAAGGGGCTGCCCCCAGCATCATGCGCATCATTGGGCCCCCGCTTCTCCTCCTTGGGGCCATCGGCGCATGAAACACAAAAAAGCTGCCCCTGCCGAGGCGGGATTTGAAGCCCTTCTTCCCGAAATAGCGACGCCGCTGATGCTCATGATGCTCGCCGGGGCCCCCCCAAAAGCAGTCTTCCAGGTCGAAAAAAAGCTCAAAACCATCGGTGTGGGCGGCGTTTCCTGCTTTGGAATGCTTTTGAAGGTGCTCTCGCGTCCCCGCCCCGATCCGGTCCGGAAGGGCTTCGGGAGGCCGCGGAGGTCCCATGATGCCCTCCGGGGGCGGGCCCTGCATGCCCAACCCATTGCTAAAGCAAGGGCTTCCGCCCTACGGGCACACAGAGGGGCGTTGCCCGATTTCAGGCCTAGCGGCACGGGCCGGCCCCCGCCCCCCAAAACACGAAACCTTGAACCTTGGCACTGTCTTCTCTTTCCCTTTTTCTTTGTCTTTTATCTTTGTCGCTCTCCTCTTTCTCTCTCTTTCTCTCTCGCTCGCTCTCTCGCTCTCTCGCGTGGTCTTTTTCTGTATTTGTTTCTTCCTCTCTCTCTATTCTTCCTCTCTCTACTTGCCTGTTTTTCTTTTTCTCTGTCTTTCTCGTTCTCCTTTCACTTCTCCTGCGCTTCCTTCTGTTGTTTTATCTTTCTCTTTCGCTTTCTTTGTCTCTTTTCTCTTTTCTCGTTTTTCGTTTCTCTTTTCTCTTTCCTCTTTTCCTCTTTTCCTCCTTTCCTCCTTTCCTCCTCCTTTCCTCCTCCTTTCCTCCTCCTTTCCTCCTCCTTTCCTCCTCCTTTCCTCCTCCTTTCCTCCTCCTTTCCTCCTCCTTTCCTCCTCCTTTCCTCCTCCTTTCCTCCTCCTTTCCTCCTCCTTTCCTCCCTCCATTTCCCTCCTCCTTTCCTCTTCCTTTCCTCCTCCTTTCCTCCTCCTCCTTTCCTCCTCCTTTCCTCCTCCTTTCCCTCCTTCCTCCTCCTCCCTCCTCCTTTCCTCTCTTTCTCTCTTTTCTCTTTCTCTCTTTCTCTCTTTCTCTGTTTCTCTCTTTCTCTCTTTCTCTCTTTCTCTCTTTCTCTCTTTCTCTCTTTCTCTTCTTCTCTCTCTCTCTCTCTCTTCTCTCTTCTCTCCTTCTCTCTTCTCTCTCTCTCTCTCTCTTTCTCTCTTTCTCTCTTTCTCTCTTTCTCTCTTTCTCTCTTTCTCTCTTTCTCTCTTTCTCTCTTTCTCTCTTTCTCTCTTTCTCTCTTTCTCTCTTTCTCTCTTTCTCTCTTTCTCTCTTTCTCTCCTTCTCTCTTTCTCTCTATCTCTTTTCTTTTTTCTTTCTCTCGTTCTCTTTCTCTTTGTCTTTCTCTTTCTCCCTCACCTTCCTTTCTTTTTTCTTTCTCTTGCTGTTGGTCTTTCTCTGTTTCTTTTCCTCTCTCTCTCTCTCTCCCTCACCCTCTCTCTGTCTCTCTTTCTCTCTCTTTGTTTTTCTCCTGCATTTTTTTATATTTCTTTCTCCTTCACCTCTCTCTATTTGTTCTTTTGTTTCTGTTGCTGTTGGTCTTCCTCTGTCTCTCTCTCTCTCTCTCTCTCTTTTTCTCTTGCCAGAGCGCGCGCGCGCACCCGCATCAGCAGCATCAGCGGGGTTGGTTTGGGAGCCCTGAAAACATCCTAAACACGCGTTTTGCCTTCGAAAAGCCTTCAGAAAACGCTGCAAA